TTTCTGTAGGGTGAGTTTCATGAAGAGCCAATTGATTTGATCAAATGCTTTTTCAGCATCTAGAGACAAGAAATAATGAGGGTTGTTTAGTGGACTCTAGGTTATAGAGAAGGGATATGATTCTTCTAGTTGCGTCTGGTGCTTGTCGGCCCGGGAGAAAGCCCACTTGGTCTGGGTGAATTAGTGTGGAAAGGTGGTGGAGCAACCTTTGGGCGATAAGTTTGGCATATAATTTTATATCTGCATTCAATAGTGAAATCGGTCTATAATTTTGAACCAATTGGGGATCTTTGTTGGGTTTAGGTATGGTGGTGATTATGGATTGTAGCATTTCAGAGGGGAATGTACCTGTAGAGGCAGCATGGTTGAATAGTTCAGATAAATGTGGTGTGAGGTTGGGAGCGAATGTTTTATAGAATTCGTTTGTAAAGCCATCATTTCCTGGAGATTTGTTTAGGGGTAATGTTGTTATGGTATGTTGTATCTCTGTGGGAGAAATTGGAACCGAAATTGGAAAACTGGAAGCTGAGATGGTATGAGACGAGGTAAATTGGTAGTGTCTAAAAAGTTTTGAATGGTTGTAGTTGTGGGTTGGTTTGTGTTAGGGTCACTTTTGATATTATATAGTTTCTGGTAGTACATCACAAATGCGTTGGATATATCTTGTGGGTTTGTAAGCAGTGTTTGTGTAGTTGGGTGTTGGATTGTGGCAATTTTTGATTTGAGTCGTTTTGTTTAACTGTTTTCGATAAGAGGGAGCTCGCTTTATTACCTAGTGCATAGAATTTAGTAGGAAAAATAATCGTAATTTATTTCTATCAGAGGTCAAGGTTGCGGCTGTGGAGGGGTTTGGGTTATTTTTGTTGGATTCTTCATTTAGTTTGATGGCGGTTAGTAGTTGGTCAATTTGTTGGGACCGTTGTTTCTTGATACGGGAATTTAGTTGTATAAGGATGCCTCTCATGTAGGCCTTGTATGTAAGCCACAGTGTTGTAATGGGTATGTCAGGAGTAGAGTTGGTGTCAAAGAATAAGTTATGTGCATCTAATAAATGTTTCTGGTGTTCTGAGTTCTTTAATATTATAGAGTTTAATCTCCAAATAGGCGGGATTGCTGAGCGTTGATTGTCGTCTAATGAAATGTTGATTGGAGCATGGTCTGACCAGGTTATTGGACCGATTTTGGATGAATTGATGTGTTGTAGTGTCCATTTGTCTGTAAGGAAAAAGTCAATTCTGGAGTATGCAAGGTGTGTAGGAGAATAATAGGTGTAGTCTCTTTCGTTGCTATGTTGACATCTCCAGATGTCATAGAGGTCGTTGTTGTGCAAGAATTGATTGAAGGTTGGTTTAGGTACTCTTCTGTGGAAGGACAAATCCAATTGTGAATTGCCAATAATATTGAAGTCTCCTCCGATAATGAGTCTGCCTTGTTTTAAAGAATTGATGATTTTGTAAAGTTTGTTATAGAATTTGATCTGGTTTTTGTTGGGACCATAGACATTTACTAGAGTGTAGAGAATGTCGTTCAATCAGCAAATAAGGATGTGGTAACGACCTTGGGGATCGGTGGTTTCTGAAATGAAGCGGAACTGGATAGAGTCTTTTATAGCTGTTATGACGCTGTTTCTTTTTTTAAGGTTAGTAGCTAAGAAGATATGTGTAAAATGGTTGAGGTGAAGTTTGGGGTCCTTGTTTGTGGCAAAGTGGGATTCCTGTACAAAGAGGATGTCGGCCTGGGACTTTCTAGTTTCTCTTTGGTGCATCGATCTTTTGAATGGTGAGTTTAACCCACGAACATTGAGAGATGTGAGGTTAATCATAGTGTGGTTCTGTGAATGCTGAGTAGAATATTGGAGTGGGATCTTGAGGGAATGGGAAGTTGCGTGATTGTATCCGTGAGAGGAAGATCTCCGTCAGTCTTATTGAAGTGTTTTGAGATCGGTCTTGGGTTTGAGATGGGAGTATCACAAAAGTTTGTTGAAGTCAGGTGATCATTAGAGCAATAGTGGACGACTGGTGGTGTTGAGGAGGGAGGAGGTAGTGAAGTTGGAAGGAGGTAAAAAAAAAATACTACTGCATATAATGTAAGTGGTCTGAGTAGCTTGTCTTGCTACTGCAGATGCGGGGGTTTGATTAGGCTTTGACCGTAATGCAGGTCATGCCAACTGAATCTCGGGAACATAAAACTTTCTAAACATGGCCGATCGCCAGAGACTGATGAGGTGGTATAGCAAGTTTGAGGTGATAGATTAATAAACTATCAGAAGTTGGTTGTATTCGGATTATTCATCTTCCATATTTTGGAGAGTAGTAGGTGTGGATTGTTGTGCTTCCCCAGGGATAATATTCCAAGCTTTGAGTAGATCTAGGCCCGCTTCGAGGTTTTTGACTGTAAAAACTCTGCCGTGTTGTCTGACGGTTAGTTTTGTGGGGAATCCCCACTGATAAGCTATGCTGTGATTTCTTAATGCCTTGGTAATGGTAATCATCTTTTTGCGATTAAGTAGCGTGGTCTTTGAGAGGTCTGCGAACAAGCGGATATTGGCATGTGACGGCGGGAGTGCAGATGTATTTCTGGCTGCTAGCATAATTTTATCTGTAATGTGGTAGAAGTGAATCCGAGCCAGGACATCTCTAGGGATAGATGCTGACAGGAACGAGGGTTTAGGTAACCGGTGGGCTCGATCTATAGCCAGCTCGAGATCGGAGAGAGATGGAATGAGGAGTTTCATATATTGTTGAATGTAGGGGAGCAGTGCCTCATTGGTGATGCTTTCAGGAATGCCTCTGAACTTGATATTATTACGTCTTGATCGATCCTCTAAATCGGCAAGTTTCAGATTGATTTGTTCGATGTCAGACGTGTGTTCTGTATGTGCGTCAATCAAGTCATTGTGCGCTGTAATGATGTCACCCATTTTGGATTCAATATGTTGTAGCCTATGCTCCTGTTGTTGGACCACGGAGAGTTGATTTGTAATAGTGATGAAGATATATCATTTATGTAGGGTCTGTCTCAGCGATAGGAGCATATTTTTCATACATAGCTCGGTTAAGGGCTGATCTGCCGCAAAGAATGCTTTTATGGTTGGGAGATCTGTGTTGATCTGAGGTAGTGGATGACTGGGGGCCTGACAATCAGGCCTTTGCTGATCAATGTCTAATCTAGGCCTTGATTTGGCTGGGCTGCTTGTGGTGGGGGACATGGGGGGAGACAACTCACCAGGGTCCCCTGGATGGATATAATGGATGCTGCAGCCTGGGATCCCTCTGCTGGCTCGGATTATCATCCTCCTGTCTGCAGTTCCTTACATGTCCGCCGCCGGCGCCATCTTGAGTTCCTGTCGTGATGACAGGGAAGAATTGAGGAGAGTTTTCCCGGTCGTCCCGGGGTTTTTCCTCCTCCTTGGCATAGCTAGGGAGGTTCGGGCACCTCTTATATAGGGCTCTGTTGATTTATAGCTCCCTGGGGTCTGTGTGTGAGCCGTGATCCCACTGGCGGCTGGATGGAGAGCTTGTCTCTATGCGTCCATATGGGAGCCGGCCCGCGCATGCGCCCCCCGTCCATAATGCTTTAGTAACACTTTGAATACACTGTGGATATACTGAAACTGAAACTTACAGTTTTATATATCTTTCCAGCTTTATGAATATTGAAAGTAAATGGCCAGATGTCTCTGACTGCCACTATTGACAGCTCTCTGACATGCTGAACACAGTGGCTGAATTTAAAGGATCTATTTAAAAGATGTACACACACTTTCAACCATGATTTTTCACATTAAAAAAGTATAAATGTTGGTTAAAAGAGGTGTGTATGTGTGTGATCGTGTGTGAAAAAAAAAAAAAACCTTTAAAGTATAAATAAACCTTTAAAGTGGTTGTAAAGGCTCAATGGTATTTTAACTTGCATGCATTCTATGCATGAAGGTAAAAAAAAACCTTATGGGTATGGAGCAGCCATACTACCCCCCCCCCCCAAGCTCTCTCTAATACTTACTTACCTGGGCCTCATCTCGATCCAGCAATGTGCACGGAAGCAGTGTCTCTACAGGAACGCTTCCTCCTCATTAGCTGAGAAAGCAGCAGAAGCCATATGCTTCCACTAATGTCAATCACAGCCAGTAAGCCAATAATAATGTATTATGTTTGCTAAACAAAACAAAAAGGTATTTTAAAATACAATTTTACCAGGTAGTTTTTAAGTAGAACATATGAATATTTAATATTTATACTCAAAACCAAAAACGGGAAACTGCAAGCATAGTAGCAGCTTTCTGAAGGTGTGTTTTTTTTCCTGTTGCATTAACTGACTAGCAGGGAGGTCATATTATATAAAATGGAGTGTGCCTCAGAGATATTCCTTCCCCTTTAAGATTAAAGCAGAGTATACATGGTTTCTTTTTTTTTTGTTCAGCTAGTAAGCTGAATGAAAAAAAAAACACATGGATTCCCTATCCACAAAGGTGAGGTGGACATTGTATTCTGTGGACTGTGGACTCTGTGTGATCTGTGGCTGCAGGAGCTGATCAATGACAGTTTTCTAGCTTGGTTATTTGGCAGAAGTCAATCTAATGATCATCTTCTGTTGAACAGGGAGGGCCACATGCAGACTGAAATTTAGCAGGTCCTTGCTGAACTGGCCAAATTTCGTTTTGTCTGTACCCACCTTAAGACTCATTTACTCAAAGGTTGCTAAAAAGTGAACAGGCAGTGTGGAGCTTTGAGTGTAATAAATATTCCCTGTATTAAACTTATATTTCTCAATAAATATTTAATGTACATAAATACCATACTTGAGTTTACAAACTCAAAAGACAAAAATTAAAAAGAAAAAAAAAAACACACAAGAAACCCATTTTACTCTCTCACTAAAAAACAATGTTACCATGATGGTGTGTCTTTAAGCATTTCAAGTACTTATATCATGGACAATATTTCTAACGTTTTGGTTTCTTAGAGTATAAATAAAAGGATTCATTAAAGGGACGATCATTGTTATTCATTACAGACACATTTTTTCTTAATAAAATATCTCTGACTATTTGGTTGGGAATACATAAATATGCAGCTACCATATACAAGGGATACTGCTACAGCATGGGAAGAGCATGCTGAAATAATCCTCTCTTTTCCTCCATGACTAATTTTTGCAACTGCAATTATTATATTTACATAAGATATATAAAGGTCACAAAAAAAAGAAATCACAACAACACTGGATGACACAAGAACACATTTTTCAATGTGATCTGTGTTTGTACAGGCATTCTTCAGGAGTGGACCTACATCACACATAAAATGATCAATCTCAGAAAAACAGAATGTCAAGCTCATTACTAAGTAAGAAGGAATCAACAGAGAAATGAATGAACCAAACCACACTCCAATTATGACTTGAATGCAAAAGTGTCTATTAATAATGGTAGAGTATTGCAGGGGGAAACAGATTGCTATGTATCGGTCAACAGACATTACAGCCAAGATTAGAAATCCAGCTATTCCAGAAAGAAAGAAAACATATGACTGAGCTAAGCAAGCCAATACAGATATAGACTTCTGTATACTTAAGATGTCCTTTAAACCAGTTTGGTACTATGGTAGCTATAACACAAATATCATTGAAAGCTAAGTTACACAGAAAAAAATACATAGGTCTTTGAAGTTTCCTGTTTAGAAATACTAATGAAATGAAAAGGAAATTCCCAGTTGTTGTGACAATATAGCAAAACAATGCAAGACAGAAGACTAAAACAGTTGTATATGGATATAGAGGAAATCCCAGTAGCTTGAAATGTGTTACAATGGTTATGTTAGTCTGTGCAACCATCATTATTTTTTAACAGGCAGAAGAAACTACTGTTTAAATAAATAAAAATGTATTTTTCAGTAAGAGACAGACATTTGATCTAACACATATAGTACATTTGATCTAATATATGGTCTTCTCTATACCAACATATATTTGGAGCTGTATGTCCCAAATGTTAAACAAGCACCATAATGTATCAATATACGTATCAATATATACTTAGAATGTATTGAACTGGACTTGTCATAAAGCTCCAACAAGTCTTCAGTAAATGTCTCATTATTGTTTATATGCATACATTTATAAAAGGATTCCAGCTTGTTTTCTATTGCATTAAAGTAGATCTTGGATTGCTCCACTGGGACTAATTATGCCAGACTTCCATGTAATGTATAATTTTTTTTTATTACAGTATATCTCAATTACCCAGTGCTAATTTATCGTTTGATTCCCATTACAACAGAGAAAATTATATTAACAATATAAATTCAAAGTTTGTTTTTAAATGTTTAATACATATAGCAGGGAATTTCCCCTCAAATTTTATCCCAATAATAAAGTTTTACCAGCAGGGGCGGACTGACCATTTGGAAACTCGGGCACTGCCAAGGGCCCGGGGTCAGTAGGGGGCCCCATGAGATGCCCCTGGTACCTTTTTTCATAGGCTTTTTTTAGTTTGGGCAAGGACACAGGGCCCCATGATCTCCTATTGCCCAGGGGCCCCAGGAGTTGTCACTCCGTCCCTGTTAAACCAGGACAGAAAGTTATAGGAACAATCCAATTATATCCACACAGACAGCAATAAAAAAGGCTTTTCTTGGTGCCTTACATGGCAGCATACTAATAATAGAGCTTTGCCTCTAACCCTGCCCTCAGGACATGTAGCTTAAAGCGGATACTAAAGGCTTGGCTTTTTTTTGAAATAACAAACATGTCATAAAAACACATGCTCTGCAGTGGTTTTGCAAAGAGCAGCCCCAATCCTCCTCTTTCTCAGGTCCCCTCTGGCGCTCCAGGCTCCTCTATCCTGTTGGGTGCCCCCATAGCAAACAGCTTGCTATGGGGGCACCTGAGCAGATGTACTCCCAAGCTGTGTAGTGTGTTCATTCGCACAATGGAGCTGTGGCTTGGCCCACCCCTTTTCTCTCCTCATTGGCTCACTGGCTGTGACTGAACAGCAGCAAAAATGTAAGCCTTTAGAACCACTTTAATGAGAATAATTAACAATAATTACCCTTGTTTTTCCTCTATTTTTTCAGACCTCTAAGCCACAGTCCAGTGAAGTGAATGTCCCTACCTCTGCCTTGTGTTCATTCATGATGGGCCCTTAAAAGGTTTGGGTGCCATTTTTGACAAGGGTTCTGTCCCAATAATTTTAATAGAGGTGTCAATGCGCCAGTAGCAGGCCCCTGCCCAGGGAGTCTCATGTAATGCCTTAGTTACCTCCTTTAAAGGGTTTACTTTGCTCTCACAAGTAGGTCAAATCGATACTGTATTTCCTTTCCCATGCCTTCAGGATATTTTTTCCTTGTACTACTCAATTTATACTTAATTTTTGTGTTACTCACCAGTAATATGATTCACTCACTACCAATTACTCAAGATCCTCACCATGTCCCACTATGGTAAAGGACCTCCAACAATGCCTTAACTTCCAATGCGCTGAATATTTTCTATTTCCACTCCTTGCCTGATCACAATCTAGAAATGTATTATGCACCATCACAGCATCCACTTAGTCTGATGTGGATAGGCCAAATTAGCCAGAAAAAATTTCAGGGGAGTGTTCATCACTTTTCCTCATTCCACAGAACCTCTATCAGAATGCTTAAGGGAAATATATATCTGGGCCTTATTGGGCATAATACCCATATCAAATAAGATGGTGTGTTATAGCTCTCTAATGAACAAGATCAAGAAAGTCATCAGTTAGCAGCTCTAAATGTTTACCCCACGTGCCTGCATTGTTCAGAGGAGTCAGAGGCCTTCTGGTTTCAATTTTGAATCTTAGTACAAATTTATGTGGCATAACATTTAAACAAGCCTATAGGGTATGAAGAAAATAATAGAAGGCTGACTTACCTGTTCTCCCAAAAAAACGCCATCCTATTTTCCATGTTATGCGAGGAACTTGTATTGGACGTGTGTCATAACGTGGGAGAAAAGGTCCCAGAATAATTGTTCCACATAAACTCCATTCATCTGTCTGAGGTTAGAAATCTCTTCTCTACATACTTTGTTGATGGTCAAACAACACAGTGATTCACCTTAGCCAAAAATGTCACACTTGCAATAGAGGATTTCACATCTTCTTGGAAGGTGTTATTGATAAACAGGTTCTATCTTGGACCTTTAGAAAATCCAAGCAGGCAGGCAGGTTGGTGTTGAAAAGATAGGTGTGGGCTCTTTACTCGATGTTTAGTACTATCTGAGTCTGGAACCTACAATAATGAAATAGCAATAAAATCAAGCATGAGCCTGAAGAAGACATTATTCGAGCTGTGGATGACAGCTAAAAAAATGCCCCAGCGCCATCTTTGTTGGCATGCAACGTTCAGTGGCAGTTTGGCAGGAATAAAACACCATCTGATTGAACTGCAAGGGCTACAATTTATGTTGTATAGCACCAATACCGGCACCTATCCTATGCTAAAGACCTGGTGGATGATTGATAAATTCCTGCTAAACACAAACTGATGAAGCAATCCATTTTAATAGAATATATCTTTGTTTGGGAAGAACATGGAGACAACCATCTCTAGGAGTTACTTGTGGGAAACCCCAGGCCTCTTCCAACAGGGCAGGAGGTGTTAAGATTTACAAGGTCTTTCTCAAGTGGGCTCACAGCAAGCAAGGTCCTAAAATCCTGTAGGACTGTTTCACCAGTGGTAAAGATTTTTAAAAAAGCTAGAAGAGCACCAAAGCAATCTTCCTAAAATCTTAAGTAATCAGAAGTCCCTTACAATTCTGGCATGACCCTTCAATGTCTTTTGAGTACCTCCCTGCCCAGACAGGTGCTGTTGGGACTCCGATTCAGTTATTTTGCACAGGTCTGGGTGAACCTTTGTTAAGATTTCTTGGGGACGATTCTCACGTGGTCAAGTTATCGGCAACTTCTGTATGTTTGAACAACTCTCCAACTCATCTCAGACGGCAAATGTACTGTTAAACTGTTCACCATTTGTAACCCAGGTCAACAATTAGCCTAATCAACAATTCAGTTAAGAACAGAAAAATGAAGGCTACAACATCGCACAGGCTCACCACAAATTTGGACAAAAAAGATTGGAAAAAATGTTGCGTGTGGTCCTTATGAGTCTCGATCTCTCCCTTGAGACTGGTTTGTTTTGTAAAATATCCCAGTAGATCAGCAGTTTTTGATAATACTTAGGACCAGCCTGTCCAGCACCAAACAACCATGCACATGTTCAAAATCACATAAATCCCCTCTGCTGTCCTAATTGTTGCTGCCATGGTTGATTGGAGGATTAGCAATTTGTGTTTTCCAAGCAATTAGAACAGCGTGTACCTAACTATTCAAAAGAAAGTCTTTATAGACCATAACACATACCTAAGGTTAAACAAATTGGGCAAACCTATCTGTTAATTCCTGAAGACTTTGTCGCCGTCTAGTCCTGGGACATTTACCATAGTGCAGGCCACCCTCAGAGATCCAATGGTCTTTGCAGCCCTCCATCACCTCGATACCCATCCTTCTGATAGCTCTACAGGTCTCAACAAACTCTTGGCCCACAGATAAGTAACTACGATAAGATAAAACTTACAAGCATGTGGTTGGGATTATTAACCACAGGAAGAATAAAACTTATATTGGACACAGCGGTTGACATATCTGGATGCTCTTTTTGATACTGTCAGGAGAGGATCTCCCCTGCCACTCCTGAAAAAGAGTGTTCCAAGCACAAAACAACTTAACATGTATAATGGCAGGCTCCTGATGCATACTTGTGATTGGGAACTTTCCAATCATGTGGTCATTGTGACAGCCAATAAAATAACAAACACATGATAGGATTGCCTGCGGAAAGGATGCATTTGCTTTATCCCCTCAGAGACCCCCGGTTGTGGGATGAGATTCTGGAATTTATCCAGCAGAATTCTGGGAACACCCGTTGATCACGGGAAATTATACGGCAGGCTTTATGTTCAGAGATGTTTCAAAGTTTATTAGACATTACTAAGATTATATAGGATACAGAAAAAAAATAAGGGAGGGGCGAGTGAGTTTTCAAAAACTGTAACTTGTAAGTTTCCATCGTGAGCTAAACTTACATTGAAAATGATAGAGGACATATTACATTTCTTGGTACAACATTGTTTTGGCTTAGCTTTTCTGAGAAATACAAACCAGACAAAGAACATTGTCAGGGGTCTTGTTAGCTCTGTCTGCTGTTACATTCTTGAGCAGCTAAATTCAGTTTAATTAAACTTCTAAATATATCTGCTTAAAAGCTAACTTATTACTTAAAATGGCCGTACATTAACAAAATGGAGGTTATCTAGATCCTTTCAAATTTACCCTCTTGTGATTCATTGAAACCTGATCCTCAATTCTTACCATCATTCATCTTTTTGTGGTATACATAGCCAGATAACCTTCATTTGTATTTTGCAGGCTTGGTGACTCTAGCTATGCAATATAATAAGCATTTAAAACATAAATATTAAAGATAAAACAAAAAACAATATCATGACAAATGTTTAAACAGCAATACCTTTCATCCATAAAAAAGGACAGAACCAAATCCTGA